CCTTCCAATCCCTCCTCATCAAGGGAGCCCATTCCCGCCCCCAAGGCACCTCAAGCGTCATCAACATCAGCAGCATTGCGGCAAGACTCAACACACCTGGGCCCGGAGCATGTGTACGTTGTCCTGATATTCGTATATAAAGCCGCATCGAACTGAGTTGATCAGATGGCTTATGGTGTGACGAAAGCAGCATTGGACAAACTCACGCTCGTTCTCGGGACGAGTTTTGCTGGGAGGGGTATCCCGATTCGGGTGAACGCGTTGCAGCCTGGCGCGTTTGCGTCGCAGCTGATAGGTCCTGATATTTTGGAGATTATCAAGACGAAGCCTGCACCTGGTGCTGTGGCGCCGATACCCGCCAGGAGGCATGGGTCGTGAGTACGCTCGGTATTTGGATGAGATCGGTTGTTGAAACGAGTTTTGTAGTGATGCAGAGATTGGGATGACGGCGATCTACCTGGCAGTATCGGATTATACGAACGGGGCGGTTTTGTGTGTTGATGGCGGAACATCGCTGGTAAACCCTTGATTGCTTTGTTGTTTGACGTAGACTGTCTATGGGATTAAAATTTCCCCCCTTGGCGTTACCGACCTAACGATATCATGGTGTTCCCGTCTAAAGACGGACTTGGTTTTGATAACCCCCGAACAGTATGATTTCAACCAGGCAGAACATACGAGATGTTCTGTGGAAGGCAGACCAAAGGAACTCGTCCAATTTGCAGGTCTTGTAGAACCATCGAAGATATCTCTAATCCATAGATGGAGAGAAAGAATGGTGATTACAAGTGGGTAACAATGATAACAGACCCTTTCATATCGGTTATAATCGCTACTGAGGCCCGACATATGAAGTGTTCGAGCTTGCCTTATTTTCCTTTCACCTGGTTTCCTACTTCTAATTAATGACTGGTTCTGTAGCTTGGCTCGGTGGAAATAGAAATAATATTCAGGGATTCACCAGCGACAATCCACCATCAAGGTCCGAAATCGCCCCGTTCGTATAATCCGACACTGCTAGATAGATCGCCGCCATCGCCATCTCCGCATCACTAGTGCCAATCAGCATTTATTCCACGGCACTGCGACTGAGCATACTCACGTCCCAAGTCTCCTCGCAGGTACCGGCGCCACGAACCCAGGTGGCGGCTTCGTCTTAATCGTCTCAATAAACTCAGCACTGGTCAGCTCATTCGCAAATGCACCTGGCGATAGCACGTTCACCCGGATGGGGACGCCCCGCTGGGCAAAACTCGTCCCCAGAACGAGCGTCAGCTTCTCCAACGCTGCTTTCGTCGCACCATATCCCATCTACCATGGTCATGTTAGCTTCCGAATCAAGCTTGGAGGGAACAGCAGGGTACATACACAAACCATGTGCGGGGTTGTGTTTAACTTTGCGAGTGCGCTACCGATATTGATGATGCTTGAGGTGCCTTGTGGACGGGAATGCGCTCCTTTGACGAGGAGGGATTGGAAGGCGCGTACGACGAAGAACGGCGCGATCGTGTTGAGGGCGAAAATATCTGTCCAGTTCTGTATTGTCTCGAGTTCGAAAGGGTCCGTTGCGACCGACCTCTTTGCGACAAAGTCAGGATCCCGAACGGGGGAGGCGAACCCGGCGCTAGTGCCAAAAGGTTAGCGTAATGGAGGGGGTCCCAGCGATTATCGACGAACTTGTTGACGAGGACATCGAGCTTGCCGTCGGTTCCTTCGATATGCTTTACGCCGGCCTTGACGTGTTCTTCGTCTGTCACGTCCATCCGGAGTCTGTAGGCACGTCATTTCATGCGGTGCTTAACTGGAAGACGGGGGACAATGCTTACGGGACAATAGATCCGGGGACGCCTGTAACAGACGCAGCTGCTTTCTCCAACACGTCCAGCCTTCGGCCAGCGATGTATACCTTGGCTCCATTTGCAGCAAAGGCTTTAGCGATGATAAATCCTCTATCGAAAGGTCAACTACGAGCCGTAAGGAAGAATACTGACCCTTACATCCCCGTGCCCCCGCCTGTAACGAGACCCACTCGTCCAGATAGTGACATTACCGTAGCCATGCTGAGATCTGCCATGCCGAGGGTCTCGAATGGCCTTCAGTCGTGAGCCCTTTTATTAGAAGTTGCACCACTTATTCAGCACAACTGAATAAGCGGTTTATCGCCCATCCGACGCCGTTCATCTTTTCCGACAAACCGTCAGCATCATGACCTAAATTGAGGCCACTCTTATTCTGGAAGCTCGTCATGTGAAGAAAGGATTTCTTGTGCGTGTGTGTTTTTTTTTTTCGATGGCCTTGAAAGAGTTAAAGCGTTGAGAAAACCGGTATAGAAAGAGAAGATTCGGAATTCCTTAGTAGCTGAGTAAGTAACACATCAATTCTATAGCAGTTCGCATACTTTGTGTTTATCATTTTCAGTGCTTCATCCCAATGAAACAGTATAATCCCAGGGACCCTGAGTACGTAACGACTTGCCGGAAGGGTAGGTGGGCCAAGGAAGACGAACAATAGACAGTCGAGCTCATAGCGTAAGATGGCCACCTTCGCCCTCTATCGGTGCCGGGTAAACTGTGAGCAGTTTCGACATGTATATGTGTGCATCGTCGCGCTATTTTCGTTCTCGTCCTCATTTCTAGGCTCCACTTCTACGCTGGAATTGATAGATGAGAATAGAACTCCTTTGAAGCCAAAAACATTGGTTGGTTGAAGCAAAATGATATTCATGTTGCCGTATCTTTATAAACCTTTTTCGAAAAAAGCTTCTTGTCTTCGTCAGTGGCCTGAGCACTCACTATCTCTGATAGCGATTTCAACGGCATTGATTTGGAGGGCTAGCAAGGATTGGACATCCAGATGGCCGCAGTATACGAATCGGAGCGGTTACAGCGTCGGAGTTTCAAATACAACTTGAAGCGCCACCATATACCTTTCTTCAAGCAAGCAGCAATGTCCCAACCCAGCAACACAATATTACTTCCCTGCGAAACGACGGTCCACCTACTCCTCGAAATATTCGAAGCTTGCAAAATAATCGAGGATATCGAGCGTCAGCTAGTAGAATTCGCCACGACCTCTGAACTTGTCATGACCCTGGAATTGGCCCAAAACGCAATATCACAGTGCAAGGACTATCGACTGAAGGAATCTCTTCTTCGTAAACTAGCGGCAGAAATCGTGGACATCAAGGTTGCAGTGCGTAATAGATCTGGTGAAGACTGTGGTACGTTCCACAGGTCGCTTCGTAGATGCCTAGCATATTTATTTCATTCCAGATGTGTACAGGATTCTGGTCCTGCAAGAAAGGATTGTCGTTTATCGGTGATTATTCTCCTCGCTGTATTGCCTTGACGCATCAACGTTTTCGTTGAACTAGGCTCAGGAACATGAAGATCATTCGCCTGCTCTTGTTCAGATATTTCTGGCTCGTGATACTCTCTTCGTATCTCCTGTGGTTTCTGTCTTGGGTCAAATATCTAGCTTGACTGTCGGTACATTTTCAGCGAAATATCGCAGATGCTCGTCGTTTGACCATAATTACAGTGTTTTCGTGGCTGTATTACACCATTCTCTGTATACCTCTTCTGATAGGATCTCATATCTGCTGTTGTCAATGTAAATCTGGAAAATATTCTGTACATGAAGTTCATCGGCAAACCCATCGTCTTCTTGGAAAAATTTCTCCGGTCGGTCAAAGGGGCAAAAACTGCGAACGTCCGTGCGTCATGCGTGACTACTGGACAAATGAGGCTCTACATCAATCAAGGATTGACCAACGATAATCCTCCATCCAGGTTCAAAACCGCTCCGTTTGTAAAGTCCGACACGGCCAAGTAGATCGCCGTCATCCCCATCTCCGCCTCACTAGAAACTCAAAATCAGTATTCAATCTGATCCAAACAATGAACATACTCACGTCCCCGACCTCTTCGCAGGAACCGGTGCGACCAATCCAGGTAGAGTGTTATTCTTGATCATCTCCAACTGCTCATGAGTAGCCATCTCAGATAAAAACGGACCAGGAGCCAGCACGTTCACCCTAATCGGGATACTCCTCCCAGCAAAACTCGTTGCCAGAACAAGCGTGAGCTTGTCCAAAGCAGCTTTTGTTACATTGTATGCTGCCTAAAAAATCAAGGTTAGCTTACACAAACTCAAAGGGATGGCATGGCACATACGGATGTGGCGGGGCTCAGCCCGTTCAGCTTTGCCGCCACGCTACTGATGTTGATGACGCTGGATGTGCCTTGGGCACGGGACTGCGCCCCTTTGACGAGGAGAGATTGGAAGGCGCGTACGACGAAGAATGCGGCGATCGTGTTTAGTGCGAAGATGTCCTCCCAGTTCTGTACCGTCTCGGGCTCGAAAGGATCCCGAGTCTCTGCGGCATATTTCTTCGCAGCGAAGTCTGGGTCCCTTCGTGACCCAGCAATTCCGGAACTGCGTAGATATTAATTAGTGCATGGACGAGGAACCAAGGCTGTGATAGACGGACTTGTTGACGAGGATATCGAGCTTCCCGTCGATTCCTTCGATGTATTTTGCACCGGCCTTGACGCTTTCTTCATCGGTGACATCCATCCGGAAACTATAGGCGTATCAGGGACGAATGCAATTGGAAGGAGCAGCTGCATACGGGACAATGGATCCTGGAACGCCCGTAACAGAAGCCGCGGCTTTCTTAAGCACGTCCAGCCTTCGGCCAGTGATATATACTTTTGCCCCGTTCGCAGCAAAGGCTTTCGCAATCATGAATCCTCTGTCAGAGAGTCAACCGTGAGCCATAACCGAGAATTAGAGAACATGCATTCCTGTCCCTCCACCTGTAACGAGGCCTACTCGTCCCGACAGCGACATCATTGTAGTCACATTGAGATCCGTCATGGTTGTGAAATGTTGAGTACTTTCTGGAATCCATGCTTTTATTCCAGTGTTACCGCCTAGATGACATGAATTCAGCTCTTATTCAGCGAGACCATACCCCGGTGTGTA